GAATTGCTACGCCACGTGGGATCTCTAGCACTTGAATACGCTATCTGGTGGCTTAATTCAAAATTACAGTAGATAGGTCGAATTGCTACGCCACGCCCCTGCTAGAGATCCCAATATATATATGTGTATGTGTATGTGTATAATATACCCTAGTAGCACAAAATTTTGAAAAATATTGAATACATATTTATATAAATGTATCCACACATATGTACGATTTGTATGAATAAATATAAATACACATGTATTCAATATTATTCAATATTTTGTGCTACTAGGGTATATATATATATATATATTTATATGTGTTTAATTATATATAGATACTTAAGCTATTGATGTAAATGAAAAAAAGATTTGTATTAACATTATTCTGATTAAAAAATGTACTTTTGTGATTGACTGTATGAGTGAGAACAAATGAGAGAGATAGAAAAAGTGAAAGAGTGGGAGAGAGAAAGAGAGAGATAGAGAGAGAGAGAGAGAAGACAATAGTCATCTAGAATTAAACTTGCTCTAACGATTGTGTACAAAAATATCGAAATTATTATTTTACATTTATTTATAGTAATAAGTAATAAAAAAAAATTGAAAAAAAAAAAAAAAAAATTACAGATAAAACACAAAGAAAAATAAGACAAAGAGGAGAAACGATAATGACAAAAATGAAGAAGAAAAAAAAAAAATAAAAAAAAATATTAGAAAAAAAGTAAGATCTAAATCGTTCTGAAATTTGAAAACGGAAATACTGTTATGTGTAGTATAAAGAAGAAAAAAAAAACAAAAGTCATGAAATTGTTCAAATTTCTTTATAGGAGGAGTAGCCTGAAAGCTCTAAGACTGTGCCTGTTCGCTGGAAGGCTGCGTCTCCTCCGTTTGATCCTTTTGCTCTGATTGCTCAGGCTCATTGTTTATTTGAACACGCTCGGTTTCATTCGTACTCTGGTCAATCGTTTTCTGACCACCCTGTAACCAAAGCAATCCAGCTGTAAGGAGGACAAATAAAAAAATAATTTTGAATTCAATTTTTTAATATTTAAAAATGAAAAACAAAAAAAAAAAGAATTCAAATTTTTTTCTTTGTTTATTACATGTGTTGTATATTAGATCAAAGAATGTACAGTAGGTGTAGACAAATATTCGTAACAATTGATCAATTTGAAATAAAATCTTGTCAAATTATAGTTTATTAACACAATTTTTTTTTTTTTCTTTTTTTTTTTTATAAAACAATAAATTCTAAATATTTTTGAGAATTTTTACAATAGGTGTAATGAAATAAAAAAAATAGTTGAGAATTCAACATTTTTTAAGATTGAAAATTATTGGTGGAAAATGGGATTGATGAAAATGTGTGTACAGTGGAATCCAAAAATAAGTGCTGTAAAAATAGTTGAACATTTAAAAAATAATTTAAATCTTGAAAAATATATTCTCTAGTACTGTAAATAATTTTTTTTTTTTTTTTTTTTTGAGAAATGAAGGGTACCATGGTCAAGTGGTTCGTCAAAAGTTTTTCGTAAATGAAATGAGTAAGAAGAAAAGATTGGAATTTTAACAGACCAATGGAGTACTGTAATCGACTTATTTTTACAGACAAAAGTAAATTGAATATTTTTGAATCTGATGGACACTGCACTGTATAAAAAAAAAAAAAATGAAGAGTTGAAACCAGAAAACTTGTGACCCATCACAGTGAAACATGGTGGAGGGGTTCTGTATTTGTTTGAAGCTGCATGAAGTTGTTATGACCATGATTTTTGGCATAATTAAAAAATTATGTACAGTACAAGATGATATATCAATATTTAAATTATATTTAAGACGATCGACTATTTTTATACCACTTATCTTTGTTTTTTATTTTATCATTCTTGTGATAACTCGTTCAGTGATTTGATTAATTTTTCATGGCGTCCATTTTGTTGAGTTATTTTGCAGTTATTTCTTAATTCGTACCAGTAAATCGAAATGGAGATCTGTTTTCTAATTCGCGATATTTCTAATTAACTTTTACATAGATTATATCTGTAAATTAACTCTTGGAGTGCTGTGGACGCATATATGCGTTTGATAAAAATTACTAGCGTAGTAGTTTGATGCATATACGTGTTTGTTAATATTATTAATGTAAAATATAATGTAATATTTATATTAATTAAATTCAATTATATTTTCACACATAAACTACTCCTAATATGGAAAATAATGTCCCAACATTATGGTGGTGACAATATTTATTTTCTCTCTCTTCCAAAAACACTTTGTTCAATCTGCGCATGCTTGAAATTTCTCTAAAATATCAGTAGTGGGGGAGGGGGGGACATAAACTGGAGAATAATTTTGTGGTTAAAATTATGTTTACAGTATTATTCATTATTATTATTATTCAGAAAAATAATGCTAAATTATTAAAAATTTGTSATTTTAATTTATCAATATTTTATTATCAACAACTGATTATTAAAATAATGGTGCATTCGTGTTATTTATATTTAAATAAAATATAAAAAGTTATTATATAAAAATATATTTTATTTGAATTACTGGACATTTTCCCGCATGCGCACAAAGGATGCGCAGAACTGAGTTGGAAGCTCGGAGGATAGAGAAGGTGACATTATCTGTCTCACAGGCTCACTTTGTCGGAACAGCTTCCATTTATGGAAACTGTTGACCGGCCGCTCACACAACATGTGTTTTATAGCCGAAACAATCGTTATTGGCCGTTATTTTTAAATATTTAAAATTATATCAAATTAAATTTGTTGTTGTTATTTTTTAATGTTAATTTTTTCGTGAATTTAATAAAGTTTCTTTAAAATGAATTTTTCCAAAATATTATACCGGCGTATGGGGAAGTTTGACTGCGTACACGTGCGGCCATTAAAGTTTTAAATATAATTTATTATTAGAATTTGATTAATAATAAATTATTCCGTTTCTACAAAACATTTTAAATAAAAAGTATTCAGCACTCAAAGGGTTAATAATAATGTTTCTTTTTATCCTTGTTTTCCTACCATTTTCAAACAATAATTCTCAATCTTAACAAATTTTGAGGTTAATTATTTTCTTATTTCATTATATCTACGAAAAAACTTTCAAAAAAGAATATGTAGAATTTATTGTTTTATAAATAAAATTATTTTTAAATAAATCTACAATTTGACAAGATTTTATTTCAAATTGATCAATGTACGAATATTTTCTAACCTCATTCTATGTAACAAACATTGAATATACCTTACATCCGATATTATTGTTAGACTTTAAACAAAATAGAGATAATAAAGATTCTTTTAAAAGTTCAACTAAATATATATATAGTATATTAACAAATAACGATATACAATCTCTCATATATCAATGTGTGAAAAAAAAAAAAAAAATATAAACATAAAGCATAATAAAAAAAATTTTAATATTCATCAATTTGTAATATTAAATTTAAAAATGTTAGAATTTTAAGCAATGGATCCATTACGATCTACGAAAATATTTTTATTATTATATACAAATCTTTTTTATCTCATATATATGTATATATATAAGAAATAATAACAATCATATTAAAAAAATAAAAGAAAAATATAAAAATAAGAAAGAGGAAGCTTTGTATTGCTTATTGTTTATAAAGAATATATTTTATACATATATATATATATATATATATATAGATATATAAAATATATATTATTTATAAAACAATGTTACATTTGTATACAATGCTAGTTAAAAGGTGGTCCAACTAATAATCGAATTTAATAATATTAATTGAATTTGTTATAAACTGTTGTTTTCAATAAATATGTTCGTTTAAAGAAAATGGATTTGATGCAATAATAATAATAAAAAAAAAAAATAAAAAAAACAATTAGAAATTGGTAAAGTAGCAAAAGAATAATAGGAAGAAAATTGATAGAACATAAACGATAATAATAATTAAAAAAAAAAAAAAAAAAAAAAAAAAAGGGGGAAAAAAAAATACCTGTTCAGGATGTTTAGCAAGATAATCATTCTTAGCGTCCCTTATCATTCTCGTGACTTTATTCCGTATATCCTTAAATTCTCCCCATTCTTTAGCATCCTTATTCTTCTTTGCTTTAGCGTAAAGTTTATTTTTCTTTTGAATTTCGCTTCGAATTTCATCAGTCATCCATGGCTTTTTTAATTCTAAGTCCTAAACGATAATACTTTTTGATAATATCAATTTATAATGGTAATACTAATGATTAATTTTGCTTTTTTTGTTGTTTATATATATATATAAATTTTTTTTGTTTCTCTTTTGTGTTCTTTAAAATTTTCATTTAAAAATAGATGGTACAAAAAATAAAGTGTGGTGTTGACCGTTGTTTTATTTATTATTATTATTATTATTAACAAATTAAGTGCCAAGCACATGTTTTGTATTGAATTTCTTTGTTTGATTTATCAATAGCCATTGGACAAATATTAATGCCTTTAGGAATACTGATAACTTGCCACTTAACGTGTTAAAGCAATTCTTATGGTTAAATATTCGAATTATTGTTTCACAAAATCTATTTATATCAATAACAATAAAATAGTTTCAAAAGGTAACTCTCTCATGCAATATATATATATATTAAACTAAGGTTAGAATCAACATAATGCAACGTGTTAAAATTGATAACATAAAAGGCAAAAAAAAAAGAAGCGTTTTATAATAAATACCTCATATTTGACGACTTTTTTGACAGTATATACTGTCGCTTTTTTGGTTCCATTTCTAGGAGAAAACCTTGGTCTCATGTGTGGCACCATTTGTGGTGGTAAGACTCTTCGAGGCCATGGACACATGATCGGAGGACCACGTGGTCCAGGCATGGGAGGAGGTAAAGGAACTCTACCCGGTGGTAAAAGTGGTCGTGGTGGTCCACCAGGTTGAGCCACACAAGGAGGAGGTAATCTTGGTCTCATTGGTCCAAGAATTCCACTCATTGGAGGTAGTGGCATTCTTGGAGGCATACCTGGTGGAAATATAGCACCGAATCTTGGATGGGGTAATGGTCTTACACCAGGTGGCGGAATTCTTGGTCCAATCGAAGGACTTCGGTTAACAGGACTCATGTTTCCTCTTCTAAAGTAATATCAGAACACACTCGTAAATTTGTGACTATATTTATATATTTACAATTGATTAAATATGATTTTTGTTTTTTTTTTTTAGGAGGTTCTCCTTTATAATTTTAGAGGTTATGACTTTACGCACTTTGTATACGCGGGACGACAAAGTACGCGTGTCCGATTATAGTTTTTTGTTTTCTTTTAAAACACTTACGTCATTTACACGATTCTTCTTAATAACGATCCTTATTTCATGTATTTAATTGCAATTTAATTTACATTCAAGAATGGATTACTATTTTACTAGTTTCGGCACTATTCTCGCGATCACACAACGATACGGCGGAAGTTATGTTTTTCATGAATAGAGCGTTACAAGTAAATAGCATAGCTCGTCGTTCAATGGTTCAATTTCTATGAGTTTAATACGCATGCGCGAACATATATATATATATATAAAACCCATTTCTAACTGTTTTCATAAAATTTTGAAATTTCTATTTTCGGTTATCTTTTGTTTAAATTTAAGATAAGCCTATTTTCATTGTCAATGATTGAAAAACAAATGAATTGATTTATAATGAAAAATATTTTCGAAAAATAAACAAAATAGTTACTAAATCGAACGATTTTATACAATCGATTTTTGGTAAGTTTAATAGAAACACACCTTTTTGATAGTTACATATAATAATAAATGTTACAAATATATAATTGACATCCTAAAGCATTGTTAATAATATATTTAAACAATACTATAACGTTATTAGTTACGACATAGTTATATTTTTTAATAACATATGAAATAAAACAAAACGAGAACGTTGTAAATTCGTATTTAGTTAGTGTTACCAACTTAAATTGTCGATAAAGTGAGAAATGAAAGTTTTGAAAAGGGGATACGTGATTGGTCGATAGAATAGTTATAATTTGAACGTTATCCTGATTGGTGCGTTTAAGTAACGCCTGTGGTAACGTATAGCCAGCTGTTGGTGCTACGTTTGTTTGAAAATCAAACGGCAACTGAAGTTTGTTGGTTTGCTTGGAAAACCGTTTGGTGCAATGCATGCACGATTGTAAATAATCTTCGGAACTAAGGGAATATAAGCGGGCACGCGTGTAGTGTCCTAAAAGGCCAAAAGATTAACATCCAACGATAAAATTAAATAAGATATTTTATAATTGTTATTAAATAGTCTAATAAACAATGGCTACTATTCGAGTACACGAGGATCAAGAAAACCGGATTGCCGATATCTTTCGTGGTAAAGAGAATATCTTGCCCGCCCAAAATCAAGTCTTGCAACAATCAAAACGCGCGGTTTTGGGTGTATTGCATAATAACTGCCATCGAATTGTTAAAACAGTATGTATATTTAATTATTAATATCTTATTTACTTACCTTTCTCTTCTACTTTTCCTGCTTTACTTTTTGCATTCTTGTACCCGGCGTTATACCGATAAATCAATTTTATCAGTTAAATTATGTATATTAACGTTAAACATATCTCGTATTACACGTGTTTATAATTAAACAATATTATTATTGAATAATGTTCATTTTTATGAACGTAATAATGTTAATTGTTAACATTAATTTATATGACATTTATGTTGTTGCATAACAGGTATGAAATTAAGATGATTGGTTATCATTAATTGATCACATTTTTAGGATATTTGCAAAGATGAAAAACATCCGAAAGCTAAATCGATAGTGACAGTGCCATTTGAACCATTCAAAATTTATGAAGATAAGAAGGAAGAGGGTGCATTTAAAGTTTACGAAGACAAATTAGAAGAGGAAACTTCCGTTGTATTAAGGGATTCTAAAGATGATAGAGATGTGATAATAAATCAAGAAGTTACCGTACCATCGGAACAAAAAAAGCCGAGGTTAGACATTAATTCGTTATCTATCAACGATGTGCCTATAATATGCAACAGTCTTCAGGAGATAATAAATGGCAAGCAAGATGACAAATCTTTGTTACAAGATACACCAATATTTCCGGATAAACCACTTTTATTCAACTCTAGTTCTTCCAATGAAGAAAACAGAATTAATAAAGAATCATCTAGAGAACTTAGAAATAATTTCTTCGACGTCGAAGAGTATAGGGCGGATATATATAGTTATTTACGTGTTGCAGAGGTACCTAACCTAACACACATCATCATTTATGTATTAATAATAATAATATTCAATTTCAAATTAACATGTTTCATCTAGTTGTGTGTGTGTTTTTTTTTTTATATAGGTACAACATAGACCTAAACCTGGTTACATGAAAAAACAACCAGACATAACATATTTAATGAGGTTGATACTGGTAGATTGGCTTGTTGAAGTAGCCGAAGAATATCGACTACAAACGGAAACGTTGTATTTGGCTGTATCTTATATAGATAGATTCTTATCATATATGAGCGTTGTTCGGGCTAAGTTGCAGCTTGTTGGTACCGCTGCTATGTTTATAGCTGCGTAAGTTTTAATTGATAAAATAATTAAACCCGTAATCCAAATAAAATATGTTACAGATTGAAAAGAATATATATATATTTATGTTTTCTATGTTTAATAGAAAATATGAAGAAATTTATCCACCGGATGTTGCTGAGTTTGTATATATTACGGATGACACGTATACCATCAAACAAGTATTGAGAATGGAACATTTAATATTAAGGGTATTGTCCTTCGATCTTACTGTACCAACACCTTTAGCATTTCTTAAAGATTATTGCATTAGTAATAATCTGTCAGAAAAGATCAAATTTTTAGCAATGGTAAGTATATTATTGTATCATTTTTATTATACATATGAATTATATATATATATATATATATACATGATTTTTTTCAGTACTTGTGTGAATTATCTTTACTCGAAGCTGATCCATATTTGCAATATTTACCGAGTCATTTAGCAGCATCTTCAATAGCATTAGCACGACATACGTTGCAAGAAGAAATATGGCCGCATGAATTAGAATTATCAACGGGTTATTGCTTGACGGAACTTAAAGAATGTATGTCACATTTAAATAAGACATTTTTGAATGCACCTAATTTACCACAACAAGCAATACAGGAGAAATATAAGAGCAGCAAGTAAGTCCAATTATATAAGTAAGAAAATAATTATCATTAATTTCTTTCTTTCTTATATATATATATGATATATATATGTATATGTATATATATATTCGTTTACTATTTTTTTTTTCTTTTTTTTTTTTTTTTAAATTATATTTTTATAGATACGGACATGTAGCTCTTGTACTGCCACGTAGTACTGAAGGTTTGGTATATGAAGATGAAGAGAGCGCATAGAAACAAAATGTTGTGTATTATTATTATTTTTTTTTTTATTATTTTTTTTTTTTTTTTTTTATATATATAGAATAGAGTTTTGCTTAAACAAGAACAACAACCAACAACCAACAACAACAATAATAATAATAATTATACAAATTTACAAACATAATTAACGATCCTCCCGTAATACAGTCCACGTTATATATATTTAAATATATATATATATATATAATAATAAAAAAAAAACAAAAGGAAACAAAATAAGAACAAACAACAACAAAAGTTACAAGGAGGGGAATAGGGCAAGACTGATTAACTATTCCACAAATGGAAATATCGATTGCTAAGAATTGAAATGAATATGTTCGTTTAATTTCTGATTAATTAGCTTTTAAACGAACATATTAACAATTAACATATTTCATATAACTTAGTCCCACCACTTAGTAATATAATAATAATAATTGTTGTTTACAATATTTGTGGTGGCCGATGGATTGATGGACTCTGTTGTTCATTATTCGAGCTTCATCATTATATTAACGAGGAAGCTTCTTTTTTCTCATTACTACATTAATCTAGACACTATGCTTTCCTACCTTCCTTCCTTCCTTCTTTTTTTTTTTTTTTTTTTTTTAATTTTTTTTTTTTTTAAATAAATATTTTTCTAGATAATTCTTAACCAAACGAATTTTCTATGGTGTTTTTCTTTTTTTTTCTTTTTTTTTTCTGTTCAAACTTATGCATGTCCTAAATCAAATTGCCAGTTCAACTGACGACTATGAAATAATATCAAATAAGAATTGTAAGATTGATAACTGTATTTATTA